GGAAAAGAAGGCCTGGTCGACCCAAAACAACATGGAGGAGAATGGTTGAAGATGAAAGGAAAACAGCTGGGTGGCAGTCATGAGCGAATGTCAGAAACCTCGCAGCAAACCGTAGTGGTTGCAAAGAGAATGTCAAAGCCTTATGTGCCTTATGGCATAAAGAGATATATAGAGAGATAGAGATAGAGAGCTAGATGCTCTAAGATCGTTAACTCGGTTCGTTTCGCAATATCAAATTATCGTACTTTACAACTATCGAACAAAATAAAATTGTTTTAGCTTCGTTTAATATCCTCTTTATCCAGTTTCATGTTGTTTGTCTCACCATCGAGGTTCTGTTCATGTAGTTTTTTTTTCAACATGTAAGGTGTTCGTCTGAGCAACACAGTTTTTTGTTAAGTCGGTAGTCATAGTTTTGTCACTGTTTACGTAGTTTTTGAGATGATATAAGGCGTGGTTCTTTGCAAAGCTTTCCTCACAAAACGCAGCATTCTGTAGAGCGAGCACTGAAGAGCGAGCACTCATTCCAAGGAGCGAGAACACGAGCTGTCATAATTCTCATCCCCAGTTCCCACGTTCTCCATTAGGAACGCCTGGAACTATGACTCACCCCTCCCCCCTCCACCTCAGTTATGTCTTTAATCCAAGCATGTTTTTCTTATTTTCTATTTTTTTTTTTGTTTTTTTTTTTGTTTTCTAATTAGAATCTCAACATGTTTCAAGCTACGCTATGATCTGGGATTACCTATGTATTTCTCAAACTGCCCCCGTTTCTCCGCTTTGGACAACAACCGGGGTAAGTGAAGATCTCACATCTCCACCAAGGCTCTATTACCAGCCGCTGTTCGGGAAAGGAGCTCTCCCTTTCTTCTCGGGGAGGAACGTAAACCGGACTCAAGAGAGCAGCCGAAATTGAGCCTGATCCCCATTGCCGTCCCAGTAACTTACACCAGGGAAAACTGCTGTTTTTTCGCATTTTTTTCCCATATATTGCGCACAAACTTTTTGAATTAATTCTTAATCGTAAAAAATCGAACGTCTTCCTCTCCACTTATCAATACTACGATGTTGAGGATTTCAATAAGACTTTGAGAAAGAGAAAATTGCGTAAGACTGGAACCCAGTCCTCATCAAGTTTTGATTAAATCTAGAGCTGAAACTTGTTCTTTACTGTCGTCTAGCTTAATATAATTGAATCATTTATTAGATTATTACAAAAACTAATTTGTTTCAACTGGTTTTAGTTACAACCATCCATACCAGCTTTTTGTTTTACATTTTATGACTTCTTTATGGGTGAATTCTTTTAAATACCCAGGATTGACCATTGCGCTTTTTCCCGCGTCTATTGGTCTTTTGGTTTACATGATAGCGAGGTTTCTATTGTTTTCCATTGCTGTACAGTGCGCAATGCACCCTGGCCAAAACTGGGTCTTCAAATTTTTAAAGAATTATGAAGAAGTGTCATTTGACTTTGAACACGACCAGTATTGTGTTAAGCAGATATCACGTACAAAACAACAGAACACTATCTAAAAAACAAGAAAGAATGCGATCTTGTAAGTTGGCCAAGGGCAAATAATTCCAGACAAGATTAACAACATTCTCTAGTTGCACAAATCCCAAAATCCCCCCAAAAAATTGCACAGGCATTGTTTTAGATTTCTCTTGGGACATCTTCCGGTCCCAGGAGAAATTGCAGACAATGATTATGCAAAATTTTGGGGGGTAAAAGAGGTGTATAATGGGATTTGTACAAGTAAGGAATGCCATGATTTGTTCCTTAGTCAATGTCCAGCATACAGTCTAATGATATTGCCAATATTTTGTCCTAATTTACTCTAAACAAATACGGACTAACCAAGGTGGGAGTGCTGTTACTTTAGCAATGTTATTCATATCTTCTTACATCTTTTCTGCAGTCTCCGCAACCCAGTGGATCTATCAACATTGATGAAGAAATAAAGAAATGCAACCACACGTTAAAGGTAAAAATAACTCTGAATATCTTTATTCAGCAAGATTGAAAAATGATTGCTGTCAGGTTAATTTCAGTTGAAATGCAAATTAGAGTTTGTACTAAGACAAGTCAAGGTTACGTGTTAACACTGGATGTCATTTTCACGAGGGTATATAATCCATGGTACATTTTGTTTTGACATTTGGCTTGGTTGACTGATCTCCTCACGCTGATGTATTTTTGTTATGTTATGTTGCAAGGGTTCGATGATGAACAAATAACTTGTAAGACTTAAATTTAACGGTTCTCCCTACTAAACATCTGAGTGGACGCACCACATATTTGGTCACGCAACGCATTTGGTCACGCCACACATCTCTAAATGTTTAGTGTGACCATTGCATTCAGATGGTTCGTCTGAGAGAATACTGCCCATATTAAGCATAATTTTGTTTTGAATGTTCGCCATTACGATCGAGGCAGGAATAGAACCATTCACCAACTCTCTTAACTTTGCCTCATCATTTGACCAAATCATGTCAGGAAATTTCAGTAAATATTGGAAGAGACCAGAGAGAGACTTTCTCATTTTGGAAATCATTATCTTACACATTGTGGAGGCGCGGTTGAGCAATGGCTGGCACGATGACCTCTGGATCGAGCAGTCCGGGCTCGAGCTCTGGCAAGATTCATTCCGTTGTGTTCTTGGGCAAGACACTTGACTCTTAGAGGCAAACGACAAATTTAATGCTGAGTGGTAACCCTGCGATTGTCGCTTAGTGTTACAGAAACTGAGATAAGCACCGCCTCTATGGGCCACTTGGTCCGACATAGCCTTGAACTTACCTTACACATTTTGCTTAGTAATTTCGGTGATGTAAACACAGCGAGAGAAAAGAACGTGCAATAACCAGAGGAATATTTTCATTGCAGGTTTATGCGCTGTCTCAGTGTATACCTAGCAGTGTAACAATGATTACTTATGAATATCCTGGTAAGACATAGCGATACCGTTACAGGCATAACTGCAAAATCATAACAGTTACGTACAGAGCTCAGGTAACTACAAACGGGATTTGAACCCATGACCTCTGCGATACCGGGGCATTGCTCTACCAACTTAGCTATAAAGCCAACTGGAAGCTGGTCATGTTGGGAGTTGGTAATACAGCAGCAAAAAAATGTCCGACTTTGTTTTGTGTATCTACAGAAACTCATTGTGAACCATCCCAGGTTAATTATTGGTTTTCAGTGAAACTCGAATCAAAAGAACTGACTGAAACGTTAATTTCCCAAGCTAAGTGATCACTAAGATCGGTAGAGCTTATCAGAATAACCGGTCTTAGAATAGCCTCTTTTCTGAGAAGGAAACAGCTGCAGCCGTGCAAATATTTAACTTTAAGTCCTAAGTTAAACATAATGGTGAGGTCGAAACCAATCTCAGATTAGTTAGGTAGGTAAGCTTTATTTATCCAGAGTGGCTAATTTAGCTACGTGACTAGTCTCCAGGGGCCAGGCTGCGAACAAAACAGTATGTCCTAACTAGAGGAAAACTAGTCTATTCTAGAGGAAAAAAAGGTCTATTGTTTTCTTTTCTCACAGGCTGCAGAAATATCTCCAGTTATCCCAAAGACCTATGCTACAAGTGTAAGATAGACTTTCATTATCTCTGTATTACATTCTTGTGTTTTCTTGTCTAGACTTGACTTGACTCGGTTCCAATCCACCTCATCGGAACGTTTCTGTCGCTGGCAAGGTTGGAATTGTCAACGTACTTAGATTTAAGTGTCTTTGCTTTGCAGTCGATCCTCCTGATTCCCCAGACGATTACAGAGAAGTGAGAAACGTCAACCACACTGTGATGTCCATAGATGATGCTTACACATTCACTATCAATGTAACATGGGATCCACCCATCTACCCCTATAAACGAGTTCAGTCTTACAATGTCATCTGGCGAAAACGAAGTGAATTCTCTGCTATACCTCGAAAATCTTACGTAAGCTATTTTTTTTTTCCCTTTCTTCTTTCACTGCCTGTCTCGATTATAGGAGCTACGTCACGGTTTGCGCTTCTCGAAAAGTTTAGCCTACATTTTTCAAGCTCGTCGTTTGTAATCCGTGTTAATCTTCTCCATCCTTAACCATCCTTGTTCCTTCATGGTTTATCAATATGTCTCGGATGTTTTTCAATCTTAGTAAGCTACTATTTTCAGTTTTCCTTCAATTTAAAAGGAGTTTTTTTCGTGGCCAAAATAACTCAAAATACCATGACTATTAAAGTGCCTATGAAGTAAAAATTAATTGCTGCTTAGTTGAAAGGCTTATCAAAGTAAAGAAGAATGACGTTTCCCTTTTTAGAATATTTTTTTTCGTTCTAGAGATATTTACGTTTTTGTATTGTGCAAATGAGGAAAGTGATGACGTCATAGGTGGTTCCACTTGAACAGTAAAACACTGAATCAAGAATATCTCTAGAAATATTGGAGCAGTGTT